GGCCCCTGGTCCCCACCCCGGGCCCTGCCGCTCCAGCCCTGCTCGCGTGCGCTACCCGGCTTGCCCGGTCCTGCTTTCTGGCCTTGGGCGCTTCACGCTTGCACGCACGCCCCAGATACCTTGCAGCCTGTCTCCCGGGGACTCACTCCCAACTCACCACTCAGTGCCTTTCTCTCTTTCTTCCTTAGCTCACTCCCACTATCTCTACGGACACATGCTCTCCGCCTTCCGGGACTAGCCACAGCCCCCAAGGCCGGCTTCCACCTGCTTGGTTTCCCAGGCTCTGATAGCCCTGACCCCTCCTGCTCGGGTTCCCTTCCTCCTACGGCTCCTACTCTCATCTGTGACTTTCCAGTCGCCCTGAATCTCAGAATATACTTGTCCACCCCCTCGGCATCGCACTAGCCCAAGTACAGCGTGTGTCCATGTTAAGTCTCTTGTGGATGTGGCTGGATCTCCTGGTGTTGTGGAGACAACCAGGTTGTCCATGCTTGTGGGCCTGGGGGAGGGAGAGGAAGCCAGCCCAAGACGGATGGACTCCAGCCTCCTCCTTCTGCATTTGGACTGCAGCCTCCACCAGAGACCAGGACATGGTGCCAAGGGCTGGGGGTGGCCCTTCCAAGAAGAAAAGGCACTTGAGGCTGCCTTGCTTGGGTTGTTTGGCCTTCCCGTTTCTGTCCACCTCCTTTGGTACTAGACGGTCCACACCTGAGTTTTGGCACCCCCAGCATTGCCCCTCCCCCAGCTCACCTGCGCAGCTGCCGCTCCTCCCTCACCTCCAGGACCTTCCTAGGGGCTTGAAGGGCTGCAGAAGGCCCCATTCTTCCTCAGGACGATGAGGCTGGCAGGGGGAAGGCTAAGGTGGAGAATCTAAGGCCCTGGCTGAAGGTGAATCCCCAACACCAAGTGTAAGGATAGGCAAGCTCTCAGCCCTCCCGCCCAGTGGGAAGTGCAGCAGGCCAGCTGGAGAGCGAGCCAGTGGCCTGGGTGACCTTAAGCCCAGATGGCGGTGGGAACGCACCCTGCCCCAACCGGAGGGGGAGCTGCTGGGCTTGGGGGAGGGGGGATTGTGTGGCTCTTGGCTCTGGGGCAGAACGGAGCCAACCATGCCCTGCCAGCACTGCTCCCAGTATCCCTGCCCTTTCTGCTCCCCCTGCCCCACTTCTTTGATAATTCCTGCCCCGTAGGAACATACCTGATGGGTGGGTTGCGTATACATTGACCTTAAAATCTGATTTGGGAAAAGGGTAATCTGAGGCTACTTTCCCCTGATCTCCTGGGAAGAAAATAAAGCTTCCCCTTTTGTGACTCATGACCCAGGTCCAGGAAATCGAGTGTTGGTGAAAGCTGTCATTCTGCTTGTCACCAGACCACCACCCCTTGTTCAGGGCTCTTTAGGTGTGCAGGCACGGCCTCCTCCAGAAATTCCTGAGACCTGCCCGGCTTCAGCTGCTTCCCCCAGCGGCTTGGTGGCCTCCGGACCTGAGGGATACAGGTTCTGGTTTGGTAGGAATGTCACTTCCAAGAAATCCACCTTCCTCACCCACTTACTCATTCTGCCAAGGTGCCTGGAAGTGTTTGGGACCCAAGTTCAGGGAGAGTTGATACAACCCAGGGCTTCATCTAAGCAAGAGGAGAGGAACAGTGCATGGGCCAGGGCGTGCCATCCGGCAGGTGGCTGAGCAGCTCGTTTGCGAGCTGATGACTTAGGTTCTGAGCCGGGCCTAGGCCAGCAGGTGGGATGCTGGGGTCAGAGCACTCTGTCCAGGAGTGATGGAGTCTGGGGCAGTGCCAGGCTTAGAGTCTTCTGCTGCTTTTCAGTAGAGGAGAGGTCCACCAGTGCTGGAGCTGGGTGGGCTCCCATGGGTGTGGGCAAGGCAGCTGCCCTTGCCCTCAGTGTTCCCTGCCCTCCCTGCCTGCCAGGCGCTGGGAATGGGGCTGGAGGAATTCTTGAGCAGAAAACAAGTTGGACGGAGAGAAAGGGCCCCTATCCCTGGGTAATGGATCTTAAGATCATGGGGAAACCCAGAGTCCTAAGATTGGTGAAGCTGGAGACTGCAAGGCTGTCTGACCCTTCAGGGAGCTCTGAGCTATCTAAGTGGGAAGGTCTACAGCTTAACCGTGTCATGACTGATCATGTCATAAGGCAGCAGGTGGCGGGACCCGGGTCTGTTCGGGGCATCTTGGGACGTTTTGCAGGGAGGTGATGAAGAAGAGAAACCTTCTGCATACATCGATGGAAAGCTCTTGTCTTGGTGTATCCCTCGCCTCACGGTCAATATTTGCTTTTAGTTGGAGAGTCACCAGTGACCCACACCCCCCTCACCAGCCTCCTGTATCTTGTCAGGTCCCTTCTCAGTACTGTACTGGCTCAGTGCATCAGGAGTGGGCGTGTGGGTGTGTATGAGTGTGAGTGTGAGTGTGTACATACCAATAAACAACCTGGTTTTAAGACAACATACGAATGGGTTTGCTTTTTTTTTTTTTTTAAACCCTGAGCTCCCCTGACACATCCAGCTTATTCCACAGTCCTGAGGGCTGCGGGCCTCTGGGAGGTGGTCAGAAACGACTTGTAGTCAGTGACCTTCTGTTTACTTACATAACCGTGGGACTGCGAGGTTAACGTGTGGCTTACTTGTGCCAAGGCAGTAGGGGAAAAGGAGGAGTGAGGAGCCCTGACTGCTGGGCTCAGTCTATTTCTTCTGCTAACGTGCTTTTCTCTCCTCAAAGCCTTTCATGCTGATGCCAGAGTTACTGCTCCCAAGCGCCCTCTGGCCGCATCACTGCTGTTCACACTGGTGGCAGCTCCCCACCGCCTCTGGGTCTGAGGTCCGGCTCCTCAGTGTGCTGTAAGAGGCGTTGTTCCAGTGCCACCGCCTCCTCCCAGCAGCCTCGAGCTCATCTAGCTCCAGAATGTCGTGTCTGCCCAGTTCCGTCACCAGAAGGCAGCACGAGTTCTGCTTTCCTTGCCTTTGCAGCTGTGAATCTTCTAGACCCACTTCAAGCATCGTCTGGGAGGCACTGCCTGACCCGCCTCCAGCAGAACTAGATAATCAGTGACACTTTGCAGCGCCGGCGCTCTGCTCGCTGTGAGTGCTGGGCAGTCATTGTGGCCTCCTGGGCTGTGAGCACGCTCCGCTAGGTGTCTTGTTGATCTCTGTATCCCTAGATGTCTGTACTGAATGACTAAACGAACCGACCTTAGCTCAGAGGGTTTTACAAGGATTGTTATTAACTGAAGCTGAAAATTATTGAGAACTATTGTGTGCCAGCCACTGTCTAAGCATGCTAAATGTATGAACTCATTGAATCCTCACAACCCTGCCGTGTATCATCACCACCATTTTGCAGAACAGGAAATTACCAAGCTGGGACCATGCAGCTGGTAAAGGTGAAGATGTGCAGTCAGTGCCTTGTCCTTAATTACAGTAAGTTTGTTAGGACTTTCGGCCCAGGGCCAGCTGCGCTTAACAGGTGTTACTTGCCCCCCTCTCTCTTTTTTTAAACTTATTATTATTATTTTTAAAATTTTGAATAGACTTTATTCTTTTAGAGCAGTTCCAGGTTCACAGCAGAACTGAGCAGAAAATAGAGTTCGCATACAGCCCTCCCCACCCACACACATGTACTCCCCCACCCTCAGCATCCCTCGTTCGTGTGGCGTATTTGGTACAATTGATGAACCAGCGTGGGCACATTATTACCAACCAAAGTCTAGTTTACGTCAGGGTTCACTTGATGTTGTATGTCCTGTGGGTTTTGACAAATGCATAAAGAGGTGTAGCCTCTCTTTTAAGTGAACTCAAGCCACTGCCCGGAGGCTCAGCCTCCCCCAGCTCCCTTTCCCAAGCTCCTGCGTCTGGCCCGTGCATGCGGCACTTGGCTTCTGTGTGTGATCTTCATGGTGCCGTGTTTCTTCTGTTCGCCTGAATGGTGAACTCCCGTGGGCAGCGTAATACACCACACATCCTTGTTTCCTCTCCAAGGCTAACTGTTCCAAACACCGATGATACAGCATGGCAGAGTCCATGTGCACAGATGGCAGGATGGGAGCAAAGACAAGGCAACCTGGGGCCCAGAGAGGACAAACAGGTGAGGGAAGGTGCTAGCCTAGAGCCGACAAGCCTACGGAGGTCCCCTCCCACCCTCTCAGTGGTCACAGGTAGAGCTGACCGACCTTGGTGGCTGGCTATAGGAGTGAGATCCAAAGGAAGCCAGGGAAACTACAATTTCCCAGTGTTGCCATCTACTGGGGCGGGGAACATAGATGGAACAGGCTTACGTGGGCATGTGAGCTCGAGACTGGGTATGCTGTGTTTGAAATGAGACCCCAACATCATGTTTCTTTCAGCATTTGTAGAAACGAAAGGAGACTCTAGGTTTCTTTCCTAGAACACCTTCCTTTGCCTCCCCTAGGAATGTTCCTAGCAGAGTTGAGAGGCAGAGAATCTGGATCTGGTGGTTGCCTGTGGCTGAGGGGTGAGGCACAGCCAGAATCTCTGTGGGGTGGAGATCTGGGGTTCCCATCTGGGCCTGGGTGGTGCCTTCTTAGCCAAGACCTTAGCCCAGCCCACAGCCTTCAGTTCGTCCTGGGCTTCAGCTCACCCCCAGGCATCTCTGCCCTCGCCTGGAGCCCAGAAACCAGGAATCCAGACAAGTCCAAGGGATGGGACATGTTGGGGATGGCGCTTAGCCGTGAAAGGGACACCTGAGCTGTGAGGGCGTCATCTCTCTCACCCTCTGTTGTACCCCCTTTACCTCCCGTCCTGGTTGGTCCAACCGCCTGCTACACCTGCTGCACTTAGAAAGGCTTTCCAGGCTGCCCAGTAGTTACTTTGATAAGTTAGATGCCTAAGAAGGTTTATTGGAGCGCAGCAAACAGCACTTTAAGAATTCTGCAGTTCACACTAATTATCCAAACACTCCAAGAAGTTCCTGTTTACACGCTGACACTCAGTGTGTCAGTTTCAAGTAAGGCTTCCCTTTTTGTTCTGGTGGATTCCCTGCAGTCCATTATTAGGCAACATTTGATTAACCGGCTTTTATTTATTGCAGGCACTTCCACCAGAGACCACATTTTCACTAATTTCCCGAAAGAACTCCCACTCATGACTCCTTAATTGGAGTCTTATCTGTCATTCAATTGTGAAGTTAAGCATTTGTTAATTTAAGAAAGTTCCTGTGCTTGATGACAAATGTTTTTTTCTGTGAAAATAATGAATGAGGCTGGGCTCCAGT